ATGTGGAGAAGCATGAGAGAGTCCAGAGAAGAGCCACGCACATGATCAGAGGTCAGGAAAAGAGACCTTACAATGACAGGCTGAGAGCCATGGGGCTCTTTAGCCTGGAAAAGCATAGGCTCAGGGGTGATCTGATGGCCACCTACAAGTTTATCAGGGGTGATCACCAGTATCTCAGGGAACGTTTGTTCACCAGAGCGCCCCAAGGGATGACGAGGTCGAATGGTCATAAACTACTACAAAACCGTTTCAGGCTGGACATAAGGAAGACTTTCTTTACTGTCCGAGCTCCCAATGTCTGGAACAGCCTGCCATCAGAGGTGGTTCAAGCACTTACATTGAACACCTTCAAGAGCAGATTGGATGCTTATCTTGCTGGGATCCTATGTCCCCAGCTGACTTCCTGCCCTTTGGGCAGGGGGCTAGACTCTGATCTTTCACGGTCCCTTCCAGCCCTAATGTCTATGAAATCTATGAAATATATCTACACTGGGAAAAAAGAATGTAATGGCTTCTTAGTACTCTACACATTAATTTTCAGTAGTGTCAGATTCCTATGATAACTCAATGAGAACTGAAAGTGTAACATATGTATGTGGCAGGGCACCTTTGGTGCCTGCTACTTTAAGGACCAGAACAGGCTGCAGAGCAGCCTTCAGGTGGATTCACTCCCAATCAGGAGTCACATGACCAGAAGGAGGCTGACTAATTGGGAACTGGAACCAGCTCCCTGATATAAGAGCAGGCCCTGAGCAGTAGGGCCAGCAGTTTCCTGCAAGCAGCTGGAGGGGGAACATAGCTTGGCTGGAGCTGCTGCTCACATAACACCTTTTGAAGGTACAGAGCAAGAACTATGAGAATGGTGGAGGTTCCTGGTCCTGTGGCATGACCTAAAACTACAGCTTGCTGGGTTTGGATGGTGTGGTGGGGCTGCTTTTGTCAGGACAGCTTCCAAGAAATGCCACAACTGTGCCAATAAATGGTGAGCATGGGGTGCCAGAGATAGTCAGCCCCTGCTGCCTTGTAGGTTACCTGTGGAGCAGAAAGGCTAGGGGAGCACAGCCTAAGAGAAAACCACAGGGGACCAGGTCCACTGAGCGGGGCCTGAGGCGGGGCCCAGGCCCATAGAATGGGGTCTGGCCAAGGGTCCAGGTTGTCTCCAGGCACTTAAGACCTGAGTGGGCCACTGGCCATGGGGGCTAGACACATCTGCAGGCACATGAAACACATGGGGTGTAAGGCTCCTTAGTCCCAGCAAGGGGGTAGTATAGAATCTGGCAGCCATGTAGAGTAAGGCCTTATGGGACCTGAAGGGCTGCACATGGGCCAACAGGGGTGGCAGGAGTCAGCAGCCATGTAGACTAGGGCCATAAGGAGCCTGAAGGACTGCACATGGGCTGATGACAGTAGCCACATGGGCTGACCACATCATTTATATGATAATATAAATTAGATTATCTAGATTATGTGCCAATTTTCAGAGATTATGGATTATAAAAGCCATAACATATTTTAAAGCAGCATGGACCTGTTTTAAGAGGAACATAGGAACGTTTTACATGTTCATTTCTGTCCTACATGGTATTAGGTTGAGTTGAAGATTGGTGGTTTGATATTCTCTTTTTTTCCATGCAGACTCTCTTCAGCCAACTAGAAGATGGTATTCTTAAATCTAACTCCTTCCACTGCATCAGCAGTCATTTCCTCTTAGTTCTCCATCTGGGATTTTGATAGTTTTGGTCTAAGATGTAGCCTTGAAGTAAAACATAGATTAACTGGCTCAAGAAACATGACTCTTTCCCTTTAATATTACTATGAATTCTATGGCACCTTTATTTTATGGGTATTATTTTTCAAAGCTAAAACAAGTGTGCTAGTGGCAACCAGTTTATTTCAGGAGATGCTCCTGCTTGTGAAGAGGAAAGTGAACAATTTTTCATGGAGACCTTGTCATTTGCCTATTCTGAAGGTGTCTGCACTAATCTAAAATTAGTTCAGGCCCAGAAATATTAAATGGCTTTTATACCTATAGTCACAAAATGCCATGGATTTCCTTTCAGAGAACTAAATGCAATTTGATTTGATGTAGGGTATGAACATTGCTGTTTATGTCATGTTATTATGAAAGCACCTTTGGGAGGCTGTGTTCCATATTCACTTTTCACAAGAAAAAAATCTTCCTTGGTTCAAGGGTAACTCATGATTTTCCTGTACTCTGATTGAGGGTTAAGATAATTCCCTTACTACCCTTGAAATAAACTCAGCGAAGTAGGTTAATATTAAGATTTTAGAGTACCACTTGCACATTACACTTGGCAGAAAACTTTTTAAAACCTGTGATTGGCTGAAAATCTTAAACTCTTCCAGTAAAATACTAGTGAAATAATGTGCAGTGTACACTTTTGAAGCAGAAGGGAATCATCTTTTCATTTGAATATTTGTATTGTTGGACCTCCCAACCACTGGCTTATGCTGGCAACAAGGCTAAATTAATCTGAAAAGTGCGGTAAAGAAGGGAGTCTGGTTTTATTTTCAGTTTCGGTTAAGTAAGGTATTCTTTATTGTGCATCCTCTAGTCCTGTGTTTTTGTAGGCTGTTTCTCTGTTTCATCCCAAAGATACCTGTATTTTAGTGAAGGATTCATAAATGCATTATTATTATTCACTATTAATTGGAGTTAACATGCTAACTTTTTCTACACTTACTTCCTCTTTTATTTACATGACTACTTGAAGAAAATTTAGGGGGATCAGATTTTGCATGAAGGCAGAGCCCTGCACCAAGAACACAGCTAAATGCATAATCCAAGCCTTTTCTAGTTAGCCTGCAGTGCTGGGAAAGAGTACATATTGTATTACAGCCCCAGTAAGGCATGACCCCATGCTTTCCATAGTGTCCCCTCCATCTGTTAAACTTTTAACTCAATTTAATTAAACCATGAAATACAGTATGGAGTTTTTTTCTTGCATTCCTGAGGTGTGTTCATGCATTTTGTTTAGTGATCTTCTATTTAATCTTTAGATTTCATCATTATTGCCAAAGCTTAACTCCAAGCCTCTCTCCACAAATCCAACCTTAATACAGTCTTGAGTAAAAAGTTGAGGTATTTTTTCTATATTATGTCCCATAACAGAACTTGTCCTTAACAGAGATCGTTGAGAAAAGCATAAGGTTTCAAGCATTCAAACATTTGAAAAAAACTAGGGTTCTCGGAGCACTGAGACAGAAATGTGATTTCCTAGGATTTTCTGTGGATTTTGAACTTTTCATAAAAACCTGGAAAATTTTCAACAAAGATAAATCTTCTGAGGATGGATTTTGTTTTGTTCCTGTTATTTTTGTAGGTTTTATTCCTAACCCAGTATTGTAAATATAGGCAGGCTGTGGGTTAGAACAAGCCACATCCTTCACGTCTTCCAAACTTGTTTATGCTAATGCCTACACTGAAGAGTAACACTTTTTACAGGGAAAACTAAAATATTTAAATAAAAAGAAATAAGCTCTGTTCAATAATACCACTCAAACCACTGCTACCCTTGGTTCTCACTTTATGGTATGCACTTTGGTTTGAGTGCATGCCTCCCAGAAGTGACTAGGGGCTCCTATGTACATGTGGGGAACCTGCTCTGCCCCATTGGAAATCCAGCACGTTGGAGCACAGCATGGAAATTGAAGTGTTCCCTCAGGCTTCTGCATCATTTTTATCAGTGTCCCTGCACTGAAAAAATGACAGCAGGGTGCTTTGAAATAAAACACATTCAATGAGCTTTAGTACAAAGTGCCCCACCACCCTTTTTTCAGTGCAGGAATATGTGGGGCCGCTGATACACATGGTGTGAGGCCACTGATACATGTAATGCGTGGGCACTTTTAACTAACGTGACCACTAATTGAAGTGCCTGGGACTGTGTTCCCAAGCACATGTAAAAATTCCCTAGAAGTCTAAATAGGACCTGAGAAAATGACTATATTTCCTCTAAAACTTGTGTATTAAAAAATTGCAACTGATGCTGCCCCTAGTAGCAATTGCAGGACCATTAGCACAGAATGGATGTAGATAACACCGGCTTTTTAGCTACCAAACACCAGGATTGTTAATTACAAGTATGTGAATCAAATAGTTTAAAATGGCTCCATTGTTGACAAATCTGCTAGAAAAATATTTGTGGGGAAAGGAGTTACAGCACTGGTTTGTCAAATTTAGGTTTTTGTCTACCTAGTACCAAAGGGTTGTGTTCCCTTCTAGAGATCATAAACACCAAGAAGTCTAAGCTGGGCAGGGGTTAAAAGAGACTTTTTTCTGTTTACTGCAAACCCAAGTATTTTTAGTAAGCACTCTGTGGCTAAGAAATGCAGTTTGAGGAGCTGTTCTGACCTTACTGCAATTCAGATATAATCTGAGTAAACAAACATTTCTGCTCCTAGAGATTTTACAAGTCACATAACTGGTCTCATTACTTGATAAAAGCCTTGAGCTGAAGCACAGACCAAATATCATTACTCTTTGTTGGTACACCCCTTCCTTCCAGGACAAGTTCAGGTATGTTATGACATTTGGATGCATAGTAATGCTGAAGACAATTTGCTTGGTTCTGTTTTTGCTTCAAAGCTCCCTTTGCAAACTACGAATTTTAAATCATTGAGACTACCCATGTGAAATGGCTAAGGGGCATAAACTGATTTAAGGATTTTACATTTAAAACAGGCTGGTAATCCCCAGTGGATCAGAAATGTGAGTAAAAAGAAGTTTATCCAGCTGCCCTGGAAGGTTGTATATGGTGTCTTTGTAAGGTCTGAGCCTGAAGACCTGATATTGCCTCCTCTAGAAACAGGGAGTTATCTGTATCTACATTTATTTATGAAGGGGGAATACTTTCCACACAGTTTAACCTGAAATTTAGTTTAGTATTGCTGGCACTTATTTCATGGCAGACAGGGAGGAATTTAGTTTTTTTTCACTGACCTGAATATTACAAATTAAAAAAGCTACTAACTATTGTCAAGAGCTGGTGTGTGATGAATTTCTCCCATACTTTCTAATTCAGTTGACACTATCCCACATTTTATAACTCCCTCCTGCATTTTTAGAACAATCCATGAAACTATTAGGCAATGGGTAGCTCCTGATTAGATACTTGCTACATTGGCACAATGTCAATCTCTTGTCTTCGGAGACTATGGCTCTGAACAGCAGTAGATGGCCTGTTGACTAATGCGATTGCTTCATTTTCTCCTTGGTTCCACTTCTGGTATTTCAGTGACATGAAACAAACAGAAATAGCGTTACCTCTTCCCAGTCTAAGCTTTTGGTAGTCAGAAGGGACACAATAGGAAAAAGAAAAGGACAGACTGTGGAATGCAGAATGAAGCACTGAAATGAAAGATTAAGGGAACGTAGGAGCTTAGACAGATGGAGGCAAAGGGGGAGCATAGGATCCTGCAGAATCCAGGCCAACTAGGCTGACATGAAAAGGGAGAAATCAGGAGTATCACCTAGATATGATAGACTGATTTCTTCTATATAAATATTAACAATAGAAATGAAAAGGTCATAAAATGTTCAAATGAGGACAAAGGGAATGCAGGGTGAAAGGAAGATAAAGAGAAAAGAGATAAAAGGATGAGATGCTTTCCTTTCATGGAAAATACAGAAAGGGGAGAATTTAGAGCCCCATCATCAGAGAGGCATACAGGGGAGAACTCTCATTCCTCTCTTGCAGGAGGAGAGGGAGGAAGAGATCTTCTCTATAGACACTAGAATGAACAATGACCCTTCTTTTCCTGAAGACTTACCAGGTCACTGGGTGCTCTCCACTCAAGAACAGAGCTATAGTCAGGGCAGGAAATTTCGTGGCTATGCCTAAAGGCTTGAATGTAGGGAGTGAGAAAGATCAGATGAGAATCTGAGGAGGAAAGACTGAGGCTGGGGGAGGGAAAGGGAAATCTGAGAATGGAAAGGATAGGACAGAACAGGTCAAATTAAGGGGAGGAGTGTGAGCAGAAGAGTTTGTGACCTCTAGAACCTAGAACAGAACCCAAGATATCTGAGGTTTTATCTAAGCGATATTAATAGACCCCTTCTAATGTTGATACAGCTTATACTAGCCAAACTGTTCTTTCTGGTATAGTTTAAACCAGTTCCCTGGAGGGAATTAGCTATACTGGTGTAAAGATTTTTTTTTTGCACCAGTAGGACTATATCAACATTAAGTTTGCTATCATGGCTATGCTGATTAGAGGTACATTTTTTTCATAATTCTAACCAACACAAACTATATCCATGCATATTTTCAAATGTAGACATGTCTATTTCTCAGGTGTCATCAGTACCCATGAAACTGACTAGCAGTATGTTTCACCTTTCTCTAGTGCTAGTCCACCTAGAAGACTGCAAACTGCTGCTGCTGCTGTAGCTAAGCTATCTTAATTTCTCTGTTTCTCAGTTGCACATCTGTAAAAAGGTGATGATAATAGCCTGACAGTTTACACAGGTATCCTGAAAATGAATTCATTGACATCTCTGACATACTCATATGCTATAGTAATTAGCATCCTAGAAAAAACCATGAAGAAATTAATTATTATACTGTTAGAGTGGCATATGACTGGAACCACCCATCAAATAATTAGGAGAAAACAAAATAGCGAGGGAGGGTGGAGGGGTGTGAGGGATAATGAAGGGGTCTGGGGACCCCCCACATACTCCCTCACATGGCAAAGCCCCCACTGCCAGCATGAGGTGGGAGCACTCAGGACCCGTGCAGGCATTGGTGCTCAGCCACGCGTGGCTCTGGCCAGTCCTGCACATGGGGGTGAAAAGCGCAGCCTATCTGTCCCACCTGTATTGCAGGGGCTCCGCATAGCAGGCGTGCAGCTCCCACACTTGCATGGCAGTGGGGGAAGCCCTGCATTGGAGCCAGCTGTCTTTGTCCCTCCCTGCCACACAGGTCCTGGGACTCCATCGGGAGTGGAGGGAGCCCTACCCTGTGCTTCCCCATGGAGTCCTGGAACCTGCACTGCAGGGGATGGGGAAGGCACCCAGCTCTAGCACGGGGCTTCCCCAAGTGCCATGTGAGTGCGGGAGCTCCACGCGTGCCACACAGAACCCCATAATAGAAGGCCAGGAAGGTTGCACTCCTCAGTCCCATGTGCAGCACTGGCTGAAGCCATGTGCCACTGGGAGCTATTGCCTGCTGCTGCTGCTGGCAATGGGGGCTGTGGGCCATGTGTAAGTATGTGTGGAGGGTCCCCACACCCCTCCACCCTCCCTC